TTCAAAGAGAAATGAGCAAATCTCAAACTTCTATCCATCAGTCCTAAATCAACAACCTGGATATGGATCTGTGTGGATATCAATACACCTCTGTACAGGGCTGAGAAGGTCGGCTACTTTTGGAAAGCAATGTGGCGGTACCTATAGCGTGAAACACAACCAACTTCTGTACACATTGAGATTTTGTCCATACAACATCACATCTTCAAAAGCAATTTGTTAATTTCTTTGAACAATCATTAGATCGAGGTCAATGGGATGATTTGGGATGATGAAGATGTTGCTTGAAAATGTTATGATTGATGGGTTAAAAATTGACAAATATAATCAAGGATCCCACTATTTAGAGCCCCCTCGGCTGATATCCGGAGCCCCCCGGGTTTTAACCAAAACCTGCGTGACCCAATGACACCCCACTGATTTTAGCCTATAATTTGCGTGTTTGGACCTCGAGGGCTCCCTAAGAGGGCACAGATTAACAAATGAGCCCCTTTTTGATTGTTAATTAACGTATTTGTAGCCCCTGCATCATTGATGGGGCAACAAATATCAAGAAAACAAATCAAAGGGCTCCCAATTTGTTTGGCGCCTGGACCGGCCCCTTGCGTGCACAGACATTGGCCCCTCAAGTGACTCTTTTTCCTTGCCTGATTCTTCCTCCTTACCTGTTCCCCCTACTGATCACAATTTCAAATTTCAAACAGCAACCGGAATCTGACCAACCATTCAGTTAATCACCAACCCAGTTACCACATCCAAATCAACCTCGCCAAGTCATCAACTGGCCAAGGAGTTCGATTTCCAAGCTATGATTGAAGATATTCAATTTAGTCCAATTCAATAGCTACTTCCGCAAGACTTGATGCCCTCTTTAATTGAAGTTTTATAGTTCAAATCCAACCAAATTCATCTCTCCACCAATTAAAAATGACCTTCCTTTGAAACAATCATTCAATTTAACTCAACAAAACCATGCAAGACTTTATAATTGTCCTTCAGTTAATCGAGGGTAAATGCAAAAGTCTTATAAAATTTATTGTTCTATTTGGTAAAAAAATTTGACGTTTTTTTTTCAAAACAAGATTTTGTTTTGTCTTCCTTATTCAAATGCTAAAAGAAAGGTGCAGCCTTGACTATAAGTATACTCTTTCAACAAGTTCAAGTTGGATTTGAAGAAATCTAGATTGTATTGTAATCAAAATGAAGCTGGGATCTGGTGTGTCAAGATCATAAATATTAAACGCAAACCAGGTTCGCTTACAAAACTCGACAAAATCTACCATTAGTGTGATTTTTGAGTTTTGCACATGGGCAGAAATCAATTAATGTGGATCAATTTGCATTCACCATCATTTTGAATCTATCATTTACCCGACGACGACGTGGCTCTATTCAATCACACCCACAGGATCTCTCTCCTAGACACATTGCTCTTATCAACCGCTGCTGCCGCTGCTGATGCCTTTCAACAATCACGCAATCCATCTTTTCGAACAAGACTCCCCCAAATCAGTCGATCCATTAGCTCATCATCATATCATCATCACATCGTGATTGTCTTTTGTTTGTAAAAGTTAAGCGCCAAAAGTCATTAAACGTTAGTTACCAGCCTTGAACACATTGTCCGTCCCTTCATGACTCTATTTCATGCATAATTTTTCTTGGCCAAAACTGATATCTAACCTTTGTCTTTCCTCTGATTATAATCATCCAATACTAGATCAAATGAACGATTCAATGATTGGTTGGATTCGGAGCAGATGTAGGACTTGAAGGAAGTTGGAAATACAGAGCCAAACAATACTATGTACGTCTTCCACCAATCTCCATTTCCATGATCCTGATTTGCATCATTTCATCATCATCTGTGATATGTCT